TCATGGAGAAGGATGCTCATTCAGCTTTTTTTTTTGAACAGGGTTTCTCTATGCAGCCTTGGCCGTCCTGACTTGCTTTGTAGACCAGGCTGACCTCAAACTCACAAAGATCCACCTGCCTCTGCCTCCCCAGTGCTGGGATTATAGGCGTGGGCCACCACACTTGGCTCATTCCAGCTTTTTATGATAAAATACGCAACACAGTTATTTGAGCAACAGACTACAATGCAAGCTTTAAAGTCATGTTTTGAAATGGTATTAAGTGACATGAAAATGTTCATGATGAAACGTCTGCCCCTTGACTTGCTTACGGGTATTTTTATGCTTGCTTGGCTCTGAGTTTCAGAAAATGGTGGCTAGAAAAAAGTTGTTGCTTCCTGAGCTAAGGCCTACAGTGCTCTACCATTCAACAACAAGCTCTGCTAAATGCTATGAAGGAATTACAAGATAATAAGAGAAGAGATGATGAGGGAAAAGCTCACTTGAAACACTGCCTGAAGACAGCCTGGGGGGTAGAGCAGAGAGGACAGCACCAGGAAGTCTGAGAACAGAATCCATAGGACCAGAGCAGGACAAAAGGGACAGGGGTTCTCTAGCACCTTTCTGAGGATGGTGGGAAATGCTTCCAGAAGTGAAAAGACCCAAGGGTACTAAGGAAGAAAGCTAGCCACAAACTACTACATACAACATGAGCCTAATTTGCTGTTTAAAAAAAAAAAAAATGTCAGCCAGGCATGGTGGTGCACATCCGTAATCCCAGCACTCAGGGAGGAAGAGGCAGGTGGATCTCTGTGAATTCAAGGCTAGCTTGGTCTACAGAGTGAGTTCCAGGACAGCCAAGGCTATATACAGAGAAACCCTCTCTCGAAAAACAAACAAACAAAAAAGGCATGTCTACTATATTCATATACTGCTTAACATAATACAAGCTTTTTTGAATTAGAAAAACACTGCCTAATTTTAAACCCAAAATGTTACAGAGTGGTCATATCTATGTCTATAAAATTACAAGCAATCTCTCTACAGTCACAGTACCCTGAATATACCCAATCTCCAAAGCTAAAAGCAGGGTTGGGCCTTGCTAGACTGGAGTGGGATACTACAGGCAATCTATTCTTGTCTTACAAATGTCTGTATTTGCTAACCGTCCACAGAGGGGCATTCCTTATCAAGCAGTTAGAGAGAAGACTACAGAGCGGGAATGACAGAGAGGCAGAAACTCTTGCGTCTCCTCAAAGTCACTTTAGTCTTTTTCTTAGTGGGCTGGCTGAGGTGCTGGTAGGATGAGGGGTTTTGCATAAACTAGGCACTACTCTGCCACTGAGCTACCCTGAAATCCTTTTTAAAAATCCGTTTTCAAAAAAGTATGTGCTTTACCTTTTGGCAGTGCCAAACTTGATTTGAAAGTCATTTTTAAAAAAGAAGAAGGTGGTAAAGCAAACAACTGTCACACCCAAAGACCATTGTGAGCCGTTTCCTGTCACTAGTGTCGCGAAGTGAGACAAGCTTGCCTCCTTCCCCACTTACTAGTATTTCAGGACAGCATTCATGTTGAAAGGTCGACCCCTTTCCAGAAAGGAAGGAGGAGGAGGCAGGGTCTGAGATCTGGATCTGCTGTCCTTCCAGTGTCCAGTGTCTGTACTTCAGACTCACTGAGGCAGATCCCGTCACAAAGCTGAGGACAGCAGCTCCGCTAGCCTTCTTCAGTCTTTTCTCCCAATTTCCTTTTCCTTACTTGAGGGTGAGGTCTCCCTCTGTAGCCCAGGGAGGACTCAAACTCAGCACTGGTTTTCAGGTGTACATACTATATCTGCTTTCTATGGCTCTCTTCATGTTACCCAGTCTTCATAAGGAACCTCAGAAGTGGGGAAGTGAGACCACAGTACGCACACTCTGCCCACACAGCCTCCAGAATCAAGTGCCCTGTGAGTCAAATTGCTATGGAGGGCTAAACAGGAACAGCTCAGATCCACATGGGGGCTTCAGGAAGAGCCTGCTGCTAAAATAAAACAAGCTTGATGGGCACTAGGATCCCTCCAGGAAGAAGGTGGGAAGCTACAAAAGGGTACCCTGAAAGCCCCAAATAAACAGTCTGTCCCCAGTGGAGAATGGGCAGTTGGAGTATGCTGAGGATCAGATCTGCAGCTGCAGCACTGGGGACACCAGTGCCTGCAAGGGCTGTGCACTCGGCCAGCAAAATGCCACAAAAGAGGAGGCAGATGTCATACCTACCCGACACCCTCAGTGGATGTGAGGGAACAAGGAGAAGTCACAGGACACAGAAAAGCCAGCAGCCACCCAGCACTGAGCCTAGTGACAGACACTACAAGGCCGAACTCCAAGCCACCTCACCTTCCGAGGCCTCAAACTCTAGCTGAACAACAGCTAGCTCCTCCTATATTAACCTAGTTGCCTATCTATAAGGCTTCAAGTGATTTATTTGCAAATGTTATGCACATTTTGTACACAGTGCATCATTTGGCAAATGCTGTTACATTGAAAATACCCTATCATCTTTCCATTTTTCCAGATACTTCCATCTTAAAAGGTTTAATTACAAAAGCATTATTCATGTTAGATATGGTGCGTAACAGATACGAGTGTAATTAATGTGTGAAAATTCATGGGGCTCTAAGTTTATAAATTACACACATTTAAGATGTAAATTTTATTTTATATGATATTTAACAGAAAATTCCCATTTCAAGCACTCAAGTAACTATTTCCAACTATTCACAGTACAAATAATATAGGAAAACACATGTGTACAGGTGGTAAGATATTTCCTATGGCTGGAGAGATGGCTCAGTGGTTAAGAGCACTGCCTACTCTTCCAAACCCAGGTTCAATTCTCAGCACCCACATGGCAGCTCACAACTGTCTGTAACCCCAATATAATGGGATCTGATACCTTCACACTAATGCACATAAAATCAAATAAAAATTTTAAAAAAGATATTACCTGTGGAGTTAATTGCAGTAGAGCAAAACTAGCAGTTCACTTAAGCTCAGAAGTTCAAAGCCAGCCTAGACATATATCAAGAACCTAGCTCAGAAAAAAGTGTGTGTGTGGAAAAGGCATGGGACCCCGCCACTACGCGCCATGGGGAACACCGTCCCACAGCCACTCTGCTTTACAAGAAACCTAAAGATGTAAGGTGAAGTAGGGAAGAACCAAGTTGCATCTAAGCAGTGCATCTAATGGAATAGGGACAAAGGAAAAAGGTGCGAGCAAGAATGCCTTTCACCTAGCACACCAGATTGAAACAATGAGCTTCCACCCACCCATACACAGCTCCAGGGCACTGTCAATCTTCCCTTCCTGTTGTTTGTGTTCACATAATGACTTTCCTACCAGAACCTTCCCAAAGCAAAAGCACCCTTGTCTGACTTGGATGGTAAGGGGAGGGGGGAGGCACAGCTATTTTAAGTTTTAAAGTAACACTAGACAGCAAACTGATTGAATTATTTCAGGAGGATTAAATATGGTAAATGGGAGGCCTTTCTGCTGGCAATTAACATAAATTAGGCGTGGAGGGGCCTGTGCAGGCGTCTCAAGCCTAAATTGCCCTGCATTTGTATCTCACTGTTTAGAGAAGCACGCAGTTCATTTCTTGCTCTGCAATTATCACTAATGGATTTTACTTTAATAAGATGCCACCTGTACTCTGGATCATTTATTTGACTTGCTTCTTTTACATTTGAAGTACAACTCCAAAAAACCACCAGGTTCTGGTTGCCTCTTTTGTTTCCAACTGAGTTATAGTCAGAGAGGATCCTAAGGTTTGCTGTTGACCTGAAAGCTCCCCCTCACCCTCACTCTGCAGTCTCTTCCTCACTTTTTGCTTTGTTTGTTTTTCTTCCTCACTTTTAGGCTACCATGTTCTGTCAGAGAGCAGCATTTGGCAGCGTATTTAACCTCACACTTTCACAAGAAGACAGGCCATGCAGCTGCTGTCAGCCTGCGCTGCTACAGCAGGCCATCCATCACTCAAGATGCTGTGCTGTATGACAGGGCCTCCACTAAACACTGCTTGTAGGGGCCAAGCTAACTCCAGCACAACCCTAAGTGTCAGACGGCCGTCACCAAAAGTGGGCTGTTTCACAAACATATCATCTCAGTAGTCAGTTCTCTAAATTCTAAGGCAGTAAGCTCCATGAGGATTGACATTCCTTCCAGAAGTGAAGGGTGACATGGTTAGCCTGTGCTATGACGGTGACAAAGTCAGATACACACTCTGTGAAAGGGTCCTGAATATGCAGTTCTGAGTAGTACGTTCCACCAATGACAACGCTGGCTCTGAGCCTGGGAAGGCAGGGTGTGCAGCCACATTCTGATGATCCCATGTTGTCTAACAATGCTTCTGACCCTATGAACATGGCTGTATCTTCCATAACAGCGTACATTCCATTTTTTAAAATAGGAGAAAACTCCTGCCTATGGTGGCACACTCCTATAACCCCAGAACTAGAAAGGTGCAGGAAGAAAGATCAGGAGTTCAAGGCCATCATAAACTATATGGCACTTTGTTTTAAAAAATAATTAAGTAAATATAATAAATCAGAATAAGCACAGGTATAAAACTGTCAACAAATAAAATTTTAAAAAAATAGTAAAAAAGAGGCAATTGCTAATACATGTTAAATATAAGCAGCACTCCCACAGGAAGGAAATAAATGTACAAACCAAAAACAAGGCAAGAGAAGTCTGTCTCTTTCCCCACAGAAGCTTAGGATAATCTCAAGCAGGTCCCAAGAAAAGGGCTAAGAACAGACCTGGAAGACGGCACAGCTCAGCAGGGAAGCGGATGCGCAGAGCCCTGGGCTCCATGCATGCACACACAAGGAAAAAGGCACAAGGAACAATTTCAAGGAGGAAGAACAGCTAAGACCCTTGGAGGGAAGGTGGCAATTGGCTCAGGGACACGCAAAAAGGTCAGGTGTTAAAACAGTTTAAAGTTTCCACAGAGCTGCTGAGGGATGCTGGCGCCTGGACCCACCTGGTCGCATCCTGCATTCACCAATTCCTGAAGCATCTGCCGGTTTACTTCTGCAGTCGCTGAAGTGCCTGATTCATTGGCAAAAGGCAGTAGGGAGTATCGGATTTCCCTGAGCGCTTTTTGATAAGGTCCAAACTTCGGGGTGGCTCTCATCTGCTGCTGCCTGGAGGCATCTTTGCTCCCCAGGACTTTGGCATCCAGGGAAGTGTCACTGTTTGGTCCCAGTGGCAGCCCCTGGGGAGAAGACTTGGACGGCTGCTTCAGCCCCTCTCGGATCTCCTGCAATCGCTGCCGGCTATTTCCAGAGTAAGTTGTGGCAGGAAAAGTCTTTGGCCTCATCGTTAGTCCAGTTTCCTTTTACCATAAATACAATCTTCTCAAAGTGTCTTATTATTTTAAAAAGAACAGTCAATAGTGTCAGTTAATTGTAAACATGCTTTCAGAACAACTTCCTTTCAAAAATATTCTGTCCTTCAATTTCTGCAGTTCCTAAAGAAAACCTAATATTTTCCAGAGTTTTCATTTTGAAGAGCATCACTCTCTGAAAAAGAAAATGGGACAAAAATATTCATTTGCGAATTTCACGTAATGTTAAAGCTACTTTCCATAAGTGCATGGTGACTTGGAAAATATGACCCAGAAAGTAAAGAAAAGCATGTCAATCTCAGAAGTGTCATGTACTATTATTTGGTTCTGGAGCTGTCCCAGGAAGGTTCCGGTAACAGGAAGCCCACAGCCAGCGTCTCCACAAACACCACACAGGCTGACAACCACTAAGCCCAGTATCATGTACTTCTAAAAACCACAGCTTGAGGATTTGGGGTTAAACACACCAAGTAAATTTCAAGCTTGTTCCTAATACCAACTAATTCCTGATCCATACCACTGTCTGACATCTTTACCCACCTGAGGCTGTGATCCTTCACATTTTTTGAATATTTTCCTAATGAAGGCCTCCCCTTTTTCTGGGGGAAACAAACAAACAAACAAAAACCCTTCATATTGAAAGGATCCTCTACGGCAGTTCACAGTGCTCCACACAACACCTTGGGAATGACCATAAGGGAGCTGCAGAGTTGACTCAGCAGTGAACAGCACCTGCCACTCTGCCAGAGGACCGGGGTTCCATTCCCAGCACCTATGGGGTCAGCCACAACCCTTATTAACTCTAGTTCTGGGGATCTGACGCCCTCTTTAGGCACTAGCCACAAATGTGGTGCAATACACACATGCAAGCCAAACAGTCACACACATGAAATAAAGTTTGTTTGTTTCTCGAGACAGGGTTTCTCTGTGTAGCCTTGGCTGTCCTGGACTCACTTTGTAGATCAAGCTGTTCTCGAATTCACAGAGATCCGCCTGCCTCTGCCTCCTAGAGTGCTGGGATTACAAGCATGTACCACCATGCCGGCAATAAACACATCTTTAAAAAGACAAGAGTGCTAGAGAGAGGTCTCTACTTAGGAAAATCGTGCTTAGGAGTCTTGAACTGTGGTCATCCAGAAGAAACAGGCCCTTGGGGACACTTTCCTCAGGATTTGCACTTGGACTTTTTCCTGGGATAACTGTGCAGTCTGAGGCTCCTCTCCATGCTAGTCAGTGGCCACAGCTACCAGCTACCCTGAGATGACAAGAAGAAAGCATGATGCTCTTCAGCGTGCCGTGTTGCTGAGCTGAGCTGTAGGTTTTATGGATTAAATGAGTTTTTCAGTTACAATTTTCCACTTGATGACGTATTTATCAAGAGGTAACAGAGTCACAAAGCAGGAGCATGGATAATGCCAACAGTGGGGCGTTGGCACTCTTCACTGTGCCCTCACTCACTCACAAACTGTCCTCACTTGCAGAGGTGCTCTTTGTGGTAAAGACAGGATGGCACACTCCAGATCGTACCAAAGCCCACTGCCCCCTTACCCATCCTGTCTTTTCCCCTCCTCCTGCTGATTCTCCTCTTCTAAGGAACTCAGAAAGCTGACTTCAAAGGACATACTTTGGAGTTTCAATAAACAAAGCAAACTGACTCCCAAAAGAACTCCCTCTAAAGACAGGCAAAGAACTGGGACTTCTAGCTCTGATGAACGCCCTAACCACTTACTACAGGCTAGACACTGTCGAGCTTTTTATATGCATTAACTTACATAAGCATACAGACTAGGAAACACTAGAACTGACATTAAAATGACCGTGTTCTGTACGGACAGTCGTCTTCACTGCTGGATCCTCTTTCTCAGTACAATTGAGGAGACTCCATTAAAAGAACCAGACTCAAATTCTCAACATGAAATCTGTTTTAGTATGTGGTTTCTAGTACTCTGAGGCCCTGAAATGGTTGTGTAAGGCAATGCAGATGGTGGACTATGAGATCTGGACAGCTGAGCCCTTGGGTCCCAGGTTGGCTATGGCCCAGAAGCCTAGGGCGCTGCTTAACTGATGGAAAATGGGGCACACTGCAACCAACTCACTCCCAGGGACTTCCTGGTCAGAGCATCTGCTCTGAAAGACCTAGGTTTCTAAAACCATAACTCACATTCCAACAGAAATGGAAGGCTTTCTAAGAGGCTGTAGCACATGTGTGGAGGACCCCGGGAGGTCTGGACTGCTGCTTGCCCATTCAGAACTCACACAAAAGTCCCAGCTTCTAAGCTTTCATTTCCTTCCCTTTCTTTCAAACATTAAAATAGAGAATACACCTATGAGAAACACCGGACAAAAAGCAATTAGGGAGGAAGGGTCTGCTTGGCTCACAATTCCAGGTCACAGTCCCCATCATTATGGGACATCATACAGTGGGAACTTGTCAAATGCAAAGAGAGTAAGTGCACATATTCCTGCTTGCTCACACTGACACAGCCCAGGATCCCCTGAGAATGGCCTGGTCCACGTGGGTGAGTCTTCTGCTTCAGTGAATACAATCTAAACTGTCTCCCAGCCAACAGACCCACAGGACAAACCAAGCAAGTAATCCCTCCCTAAGCTGTCCCAGGTGATTCTACGTTGGGTCAAGGTGACAGGTAAAGCAAAACCACCTGTCTTTACAACAGACAACAGTGCAAGAGGACCTGACATGGTGCAGCCTCCCTGCCCTCCACTCACTACTCTTTGCGGGGGGGGGGGGGTCTGTTTTCTGTGTCTGAGTGGTTTGCCTCTATGTATGTATGCACACCTGATGCACGCCTGGTGCTTCTGAAGTCAGAAGATATTAGACTCCCTGGAGCTGGAGTTATGAATGATTTTGAGGCCCATGTGGGTACCACAAATGGAACCCTGGTCCTCTAAAAGAGCAACAAGTTTTCTTAACCCCTAAGCCATCTCTCTAGCCCCTGGGGGATACTTTTTTTAAAAGATTGATTGACTGATTATACAGCACTCTGCCTGCATGTGTACCTGTGCACCAGAAGAGGGCACCAGATCTCATTATAGATGGTTGTGAGCCATCATGTGGGAACTAAACTCAGGACCTTTGGAAGAGTACCATCTCTCCAGCCCCTGGGGGCATCTTTTTTTGAGCAAGGCCTTGCTAAATAGCAAGGCAGACCTGAAACTCAAAATCCTCCTGCCTCAGCCTCCCCTACAGGTTAGATTCTAGGCCTATTAAGCCTCGGGCACTGACAGAGTGACTAAGAACCTCCCCTTCAGCAATTTACAGTGAAGTGAGGCAGAGGGTAAGGTCAGCAAATGAGCTACAGAGAAAGAGAGGCCCCAAAGGAGGGGAACCCAGCACAGAATGGAAGGATGGCGGGAAAGTCAGAGAAACTGAGCGGAGGTAAGGAGTCTGCCTGGGGAGGGGGTGGGGGTAAAATTCCTGCTGGAAGGAAGAATGCAAGCTCCTCCACAGGGCTCAGAACAGTGAGACTGGAACTTTCCTGGGGACTGGGGACAAACCACAAAGGCACCAGGACTCCTTCTAGAAGGGCCTTTGGCAAATGTGCACAGCTGGGTTAGGAGCAGGGCCCTGGCCAGGAATCCTGAGGGTGACTGAGGCAGCAGTGCAGCACTCTAGTCCACAGATGCTGGGATGTGGAACAGAGCTTCAGGACCTGGCCACACCCAGCCAGAGATCTGGGCTTAAAGTCTCAGGTAGCTACCATAAAAGTCTCAGGCATTAACTAGCCTGTAGCTACCCATTCACACATGCTATAGGGTCATCAGGACAGAGGATAGAAGTCCCTCCTGGAACATTCCTTTGGTAAGGTACGGTCCGTGACAGGCCAGACTTTACCACCAAAGGACCTAGCAGACTACGGAGAAGGATAGCCCTTTCACACAGCTAGGCCAGAGCAAGTGCTATGAAGGAAACAGCCACACAAAGTTCTCTAAAACCAAAGCAAGCCACATTTCCTGCCCATCCCATAGCTAAGGCCGGTCACTGGGCAACAAAGGAATCCTAGTGGGCTCAAGCCTTCCAAGCTTCCCCAGGGATTTGTTCTGCACCAGGCTGCTGAAGCTAGGAAGAACAGGAGGCCTGGGGATCTCCTAGCTTTTCCTAGCACACACTACCAGGCTGACAGCACTCAGGGGAGCTCACATCGCAGAAGCAGCAGCCACACAGGCGGCGGGCCACTACCACCCCTTGCCCAGCCCCAAGACATATTCTTGACCTTTAACCCCTAGGATCAGTCTGGCCAGCTTTTGTAGCTTTTAACTGTAGGATTATGCAGCCTCTGGCCTCTGCTTAGCCACTGTGGGTGTGATTCTTGTTCACTCATCAATGCCATATATGGCAGCAGCCGTCACTCACTGCTAGGTACTGTTGTCCTGTGCAAATCTCCCAGAACTAACCAACACATGGTGCCGCTGCCCTTCAGGCCACACTGGCATAAGTTTGGGGTCTGGACTAAGGAGGAGGAGTGAGTGGTCTGCTTCAAGACAACGCTCCCCCACCAAGACTTCTTAGAGTCCCTGGCGGGCCCATGGCAGCTGATGTGACTGACACCTTATGAAAGAAGAAAGTGTTTCATCGGCTCTTGCCCTGGGACATTTCCAGCCCTGACCACATACAGCCAACTCTGATACCACCTGTCATAGCCTGGCAGAGTCAGGCAGGAAGAGTCTAAATCAAAGGATGGTAGAAACTGGACCAACTTCCAGGCGCTGGCAAAACGGCAACGGCCCCAGAAGAGGGTGCTCATGTATACTTTACGGAAAATGTACATGGCACTGTCAAGGAAGGTGGCTGTCCAGTCCTCAGAGTAGCCCGGTCCTCAACTATGCTGAGCACACGCTCAGGTGAACCGTTATATCTGTGACATGAGGCGCACCCTCACAGGTGCAGGACTTCTAACCAGTGCACAAACTGAACAGCCTCCTGAGGTGCCCCTCTCACCGGGTTACTTAAAGAATGACCACCCTCTGACTATGCAATGTAAACGTCAACACAGGAGACAGACAAAATAATTATTTAAGAACTGTATAAAACGTGTTAATGAAAAAATTGACAAAAAAGCCAGGTATGGTGGTGCACGCCTTTAATCCCAGCACTTGAAAGGCAGAGACAGGTAGCTCTCTGAGTTCCAGGAGCACCAGGACTACATAGAGAGAACT